ATTATGCAATTAAAAATCCTAACCAATAAAGTAGGGAATAGCTATCCAACTGTTGTTTTAGTTGTATGTTACTTCATATTATAGTTATATCAATGTAAATCATTGTTTTCCCTTGTGTTTCTCATTCTTTCCCTGCCATGTCGTAAAATGTGGTGAACCCATCGCTATATTTGCTCCAAAGCAAATATTGGCCTTTCTAGTTTTCCCTTGTGTTTCTTATTCTTTTCCTGCCATGTCGTAAAATGTGGTGAACCCATCGCTATATTTGCTCCAAAGCAAATATTGGCCTTTCTAGTTCTTACTAGTATATCAAAAGTTGACACTTGACAGTACTACTATTATTACTAGTATTAGACTAAAATATAGCAAAAGTTTGTGTCATATTGGGATAGATGGATATTCTGCTTTTATCTTTGATATTAACATTTATTGTTTAATACTTACTTCTATGTCCTTGTTCATATCTTCCCATAAGATTTGATATGTTTCACATCTTGCTCTTGTTGCATCTGTCTTGGCACCAGTTTCATCAACAAAGTAGTCAGCTGAAAGACAAGTGTTTTAAATCATTTTAAGTCGTGTGGTGGTGTGGCGCAGTCGGAAGCGCGTTCGACTCACACCCAAGAGGTCGCGGGTTCGAATCCTGCCCAAGTCACCGAACTTGTGCCCTTAGGAAATGCACTTTACACGACATTCCTCACTTCACTCACGTGGAAATGAGTACCTATAGCTTCAGTTAGGGACGTCCCTCGGATAGGACGTTAAATGGAGGTCCCGTGTTTGGGGAGAGCCACACCCCACGTACGTTAAAGAACCCACCACACTTTAATCGAGAAGAGTAGGGGACCTGCCTGGTGGTGTGAGTGGTTCTAGCCTTACAGTTAGCCGTGGCGACTCTTGACTCGGGCTTACATTGCATTACCCTCAGCAAGAGTCGTGGAAAGATCCATTGACAGAACTGCACATTTCCCGTTGGCTGCTCGATGCTCCGTTTTTGACCCGGTTTTTTGCTGTCCCGAGCTTCCCTACAATATAACTCCACAATTGGCCGGGTTGCCGATGTTCAGATCGGCCTAAATATTCCACAGCGCGACGGGAAAGTACTAAAATAGCTAGTCGGTACATCCGCGCCGCCATTTTGGATATAGTCCGGAATGTCCGCTACCGCCGTCGGGAACGCTCGGTAGGCTTTCCGGTTATGATCGGAGAGTTTTCGGTCCCGCTTCGGTAATCGTGGCGCTACCGAGCGTTCCCGACGGCGGTAGCGGACATTCCCGACTATATCCAAAATGGCGGCGCGGATGTACCGACTAGCTATTTTAGTACTTTCCCGTCGCGCTGTGGAATATTTAGGCCGATCTGAACATCGGCAACCCGGCCAATTGTGGAGTTATATTGTAGGGAAGCTCGGGACAGCAAAAAACCGGGTCAAAAACGGAGCATCGAGCAGCCAACGGGAAATGTGCAGTTCTGCCAATGGATCTTTCCACGACTCTTGCTGAGGGTAATGCAATGTAAGCCCGAGTCAAGAGTCGCCACGGCTAGCCTTACAGTCCGGTCTTACACAGCTTGTACATGTACAAAACTGGTGTGTTACGCCTAAAGGCGGTTTACCGGTTATGCGAAACAAACAAACAAGTCTTACAGATAAGTGTCAATAAATTTGAAAAATAAATGTATGTATTTTAGTATAAAGTGCCGCCTTACCAGGGTTCAGCTTCTTCTTCCTTTTACCACTTTTAGGTTTGAAGACAAAACAGGCCTGAAATGCACGACAAGTTTTATTGTTATTTCTTTTTATTAGTTACACATTCACATAATATGATCTTTCAAAACTTTACCACTTGCCCCCCTCCCCTCTTATGTGCTGTAGCTTGCAAATAAATGCAAGCGAAAACTGATAATCCTTTTGTTTAACTCAAATCTCTTTTGCTGCCTTACCTTTGAGACAGAACCACTGGTTGACATCCTAGTTAAAGTTCAGCCTTTTTAATCGACAACCAAAAATCTACACATTTTCAAACTCTCCCTCGTGCCAATGCGGAAGTCTCGTTTAGTCTGCTAAAATCTCGCGATAGTTGGGTCCGCCGATACCATTATGTGCTAGGGGGAGATACCAAAAATTGGTATGCAGATTCCATAAACTTTTTTTTACAATATGAAATCTAACGCTCAAAAAGTGTCGAGTAGGACTAAAAGAACTTTTCTGTTTCGTTAGAATTACTTAAGACCCAAGAAAAATTCCTTGAAGTTTCGCAGTGAAAATGTCACTGAATTGCAGTCAGTTTACAAATTTTTGAAACCAGCGCAAGGGCATACAATATTAGATATCAAAAGTTTAGTAAGCATAATTTTAATAGTTACAAGAAAATACCGTATTACACACAATACAAGAATTCACTGCAATGATTACATAATATTGTTCACAATCTACGTTACCTACATTTGAAATGGTTTCTCCCAGGTTACCAGTTGCAACAATACGTAAGAAGAGAGGATCCTAAAAAGGCATTGTGCCACGATGACAGGTTGGACGACTCCACGGCCATTTTCACCCGAGGTCACTTCTGTACCAATCACCTGTGTCGTCACACTTAAATGTTGGACAATTTCGACATACGTTCAACCCAGAGACTTGGAATTCTTGGTCCGACTCAAAGACGGAACCAGGAAGTGAGCCAGACAATTATATATGACCCCAATGTGAACAAGGACAGGTAAGGCCGTATAATATGTACACTGATACATACGTGAAACACCTATCTCGTCTTCGGTAATTCTCACAAATATTACGGTTACAATACTATAGAGACGGAAGTTAGCAGTTGGATTCCTCAAAGCCGCACACTAGTAGTTTACTAAAGCACATAGACTTTCGGATGACTTCCGTCCTGTGTTCCGAATTCCTTTCCGAAGAAATCGGAAGTGATAGCAATTAAATGTCTCGTATGCTGCTTCGTGCTGTCTAGTTTTGCCCCAGTGTCCGTTGCTGTAGCTAGTACGAGCTACCATACATACATTTACGTGTTGAAAAGTCTTAATAGTTTCAATCTGTAATACTTGTTTGGCAACCTGGAATGCAGACTATGAGACTTATCATAGTGCCTGGGACGGGGGAAAATCTTAAGTATGAAGTCTGTGGGAATTAGAATATTGAAACCTATAGTCGCCATATGATCAGTAGTTATGTTCATAATCAATACGGGACATTGAAAAGAGCTTAGCTGATGCAATTGTGTTTTTTTGGCATGCGGGTATTTACTTCCTCGATATCTATACTACGCGAGCCTAAAATAGGCCGCAATGGAGCATTTGTTAGGTTCTTTCTAGACTCTACTTTGGCGCAAAAGTTACTATAAAACGAAGCTTAAATCAGTACTAGTACCAAATTTCTGTTGCCCGTACTATCTAAATGTCGGGTGAAATCTTGTGTGTAATGAACAGGTTTTTCTTGGTGGCGGCTGTGTGTGGCAGACGTTCCACGATGTGTTTACGGGTCATTGCCTATGTTGATGACAGGTCGGCGTGTTTGGTAAACACGGACACACCTGACATGTTTCGTGGTAAATTATTGTGCAACCCCGGAAGAGGCTCTCGACTGAAAAGCAGAATCGTTCTTGCGCTTATATAGCCTCTATCAGGCTTCAGAAGAGTTCGGATAGAGTAGGTATTCAACGGTATCCAAATATTAATAGACAGATAACATGCCAGGGGAGTTAGTCTAGCCTCTACCGGGCTTGGGGAGGCGGCTGGAAAGAGTAGAAATTGGCCAAATAGAGAGGGTGCGGCGAACTGTTCTCTCAACGGACAAACTCCCTTGGCATGCTTATCTCTCTATTTGGCCGATTTCTACTCTTTCCAGCCGCCTCCCCAAGCCTGGTAGAGGCTAGAGTTGGTCCGCTGAAGAGTACATGACATTTTTTTTATTGTTCATTTACAGCTTGCGCGTCTGTACTCCTTTAGCAGACCCCTGCAATGTTGTATATCAATTTGAGCAATTTCAACTCTTTCCAGTCTCTTCTGAAGCCTAGCTTGTAGAGGCTACTCTTACTTGTGATTTATCATAGGAACGATGTTATAGAGCTATACGGGACAATGTATTTCTTTTTGTCTTGAAACTTTTTATCATGGATTGAAAAAAAACTCGAAAAAAATAAATTATATCGTCCAGTTATCTACGATAGTAATATCAATCTGTGAAATAAACTGTGATGCAAGAAGACCGTGAGCATAAGTTACAGCGTTGCCGCCGGAGATTAAATTTGTTTGGGTAAGAATAAATAAAGCAGTACATCTAGTTTGTTAGGATAGACCATACAAAGGTTAGCATTATGCATTTGCTTTGCAGATGTTACATTCGCGGGGTCGCGTGGCGTAGCGGCAGAGTTCGCGACTCGGAACTAAGTCCCGTGTTCGAGTCCTGACATGCCACCGATCTTGCATGTGCCCTTGGGAAAGGCTTCCTTACTTAGCTCAGGTGTAAATGACTATTGTCCTGTCATGTATTTGTCCCCTGTGTTGGTGGCGGCATTAATATAAGTTGAAGAAACTTGAGTGTGTCGTCACCACGTCTGGTGATTACATGTTGGATTAAAAATAATTATAAAAAAAAGTTACATTTCCAGTTCAATCTATATTTCTACAGCAGAACTGATGCCTTGCCGATTTTGTTTTAGGTAAACTTGAACTGATGTTGAGTCGGGAACCGATGGCCGCTGGTTTCCCTAAAGATGGGATGATGATCGGGACGTCCCGGCCCGGCGTGCCGCCCAAACGGGTCATCAAACACGTCATTCGCTGGGAGAGCCAAGAGGACAACTCTGACGGCGACGTGCAGAACGGGGGCCGTAGGAACTCCCGGAACTTTACGGTCACAACTCACGGCGACTATGTCTTACAGGGGTTCCGCCGTTTGAGGAACCAAACCGACCTCTGTGATGTCACTCTCCTCGTGGGCGATGCGTCTTTTCCCGTCCACCGTGCCGTCATGGCGTCCGTTAGCGTCTACTTCAAGTCAATGTTCAACCAGGAGTTTTTGGAACGCTCGGCCGCGACGGTGCGAATCCACGACGTGTCCGAACAGATCATGAGAAAAGTCATCGACTTCGTGTACACGGGAAAGATCGAGGTGAACGTACAGGACGTACAGGATGTTTTGGACGCGGCTAGCAGGTTTCAGATCATGGGTCTCATGGGGGTTTGTCAGAACTTTGTCATCAGAGAAATTTCTCTAGACACGTGTATAGACATCCTGTACATTGCGGAGAGATACCACCTCACGTGTGTGGAAAATGACGCGGATTCCTATATTCTTAAGAACTTCTCCGACGTCTCAAAGACACCGGCATTCTTCACTTTAAACATCGAGAAGCTTTGTTTCTATCTTGGTGAGTCTTGTTGGATAAGATAGGGTGATATGAACCGCTACTGCTAAATGAGAAGAAAAAAATGCTTAGATAAATCTTTACCTTACAACTAAGGCACCCAATGCAACTTCAGAGTGGCAAAACAAAGAAAAATATTCTGGATGAGGAAATCTCTGTGATATTGACATTTACTGCCATTTCTTAACACATTTCCGTCATTATATATAATTATTTCATACTTGAATCGTTTGAAATAGCCTCAAAATAAGCTACGCGATGACTTCCTTTTTTCTGCGGTACAACCCATAAAAAACTAAAACGAGCCTACGATATGAAACATGCAACCGTTTTCGTCAGTGACATCGCATTTTTTACTCCGTGAAGGAGGTCAGGACCTCCGGACGGAGTGTTGTGATCGGCTGATTTTTCGTGTTCGCAGTCAAAATACTGGGTTCTCTTTGTGTAATCGGCACGCAATTTTATACGCCGTCTGCGGGCATGCCCGTGTTGATGCACGAATGTGTATTTTTGCCGTTGCTGCTTTCGCGGTCAATGTAATATTGCAGACGCACCCCTACAATTACGAGGCGAATTGGAATGGTCCAGAAAAACGCGTTGTTTGGAATAGCAGTGGGGGTGGAACTTCATGCAGATACGGGGTGGTTTTGATAAGTGGTTCCAGATGTTTTTGCCCATGGTTAAGAGATGGCAAGTTTTTTGGGAGATGTTCGCAGCCAAAACGCATTCTTCCGTAAGTCGCATTTCTGTGAAATTTCGCATGTGGTGTGGCATTATGTCCGGGATGATGCACGTCTTTTTATTTTTACCGTAGCTGTTTTGATATTGGAGTAAATGCTTATTTTCGAAACATCCCCATGTCGTTAAAAATGTTTTCGTCCGTTTATGTGACCGGTAGTTGTATAAAGTCGCGGTCAGGATGATGGGGATGGAAATGTGGGGTGGTCAGTGGTCAGCATTACGAAATGTAAATACCGATGACGTAATCCTATCGATTTCGAACTGGTCGGCTGTGGCGACCTAGTGGCGGCGTGTATTTAGTCACGTAGCAACTAGCCGGTCGTCCTAGCAACGAGCATGCTGGCCGCTTCTCTATACACATGGCCAATATTTTTGGGTTGGGCCGCTCCATAGTGTTAGTGGAGCAGCTCTTTGTAAACATGGACAATATTTTTGAGCAACCCATCAATGTGTTCTGCCTCGTGGTCGGATGTGGTCTGGGGCTGGTAAACTAGTAGATCGGGTAATTTTATGATTTGCTAGTTGTAAAGGCGTCTTGTAGTATGAGCCGGTATATGAAGAAGTAGCCTGTGTTACACAATCATGCTTTCGGCCGGATTGATGTGCAACTGTTACTAATTGCAGGGACTGCGCTAATGCCGACCAGTCGCGCTGTCCTGATACACCGCGAATGTGCGAGTGTTCCCTATAGACAGTCCCGGGAGTCATTTTTTTCGCACATTCCAGGAGCCAAACCGAAATACGTTCATGAACCGAGTCCAAAAAACCGAAACGTGAAAATCGGATGATCGGACCTGATGTACATTTCTCTTTCTGTAGATTGTACACACAATACACACATCTTTAGATAATCTGGCCATGGCAGGTATAAAAAGTAACCCTGAATCGTACTAGATTAGCGTAAATGCATGTTTATGCGTTCAAAACAAGAAAAGAAATTGTTTCCCGGTATTAATCTCTTGAAACACGGCGCTGAATATTGACGCAAAAATATTTCGGGCATCGCGCGCCCTTCCCCGTTTAGACTGTATTCAAATCCCGCGTCATTTGTCGGCATTTCGCATCTCTGATTGGTTGTTGCGTCTTAAGATGACTGAGCCGACGCGCGTTTAAACAATTTTTCTTTGTTCGATTTATCACACTTCACAGAGAATTGTCGCCAATGGCTACTTCTTTTTGTTGCAATATATAATACTTCACGGAGAATTGTCACCTATGGCTTCTTGTTTATTATTACCTCACAGATATCAGTATGCTATAGGATAGGTCTGATCCAACTTACTTATATTACATACACTAAAAGATTGATCAGATAAAGTTGACTTTGAAAATCCATTTTCGCTGCCCTGAAATCGCTTTTGAGTGCATCTAAAACCTTTTCTGTTTTTTTTTCTGCCTCTTGTGTGTATATAAAAATCTAATACTCAGATTGTGGGGTCGTATGGCGTAGCGGCAGAGTGCTCGACTCGGGACCAAGAAGTCCCGGGTTCGAGTCCTGACATGCCACCGATCTTGTGCCCTTGAGAAAGGCACTTTACACGACTTTCGTCACTTCGCTCATGTGAAAATGAGTATTGTATTGTCCCCTTTTTTGTTGCCGGCATTAATATAAGGCCATGTTGATCTGATTATATGGATGACATCCGCGCGCGCATGAATTTTCGGTCGTTTCAAAAAAAAAGTTTTCAACCATACTGTAAATCGTACAAAACAGTTGCAAAATGAGCAAAAATATACCATAAGTTCCAAAAAAAATTAATAAAAACTATACCAATGTCGTAGAATGCCAAAATCAGACGAAAAAAGACGAAATTGTAAAGAAATGAACTCGAAGACTAATATTCGCCAAACCATATTCTGTGCCATTTGCTCAACCCTCATGACCACGTAGATTTCATAATGAAAATAACTTTTTTTTTTGCAAAACTTTATTTTTATTCGCACGTGCGCATCAGTTTTGGGGCTCCCGGAGGATGTCATCCATATAATCAAATCAACATGGCCTAAGTTGAAAACTTGAATGTGCCGTCACCACGTCTTGTGATTACATGTTGGAATATGAAAAATAATACTCAGATTACATTCTCGTATTGAACAGGCAGTGACCGAGTGAAGGGCTGTACGGAGATTGACCTGTTCAACGTGGCCACCAAATGGCTGCGGCACGAGCCTAACAGACTGCAGATGGCGAGCACAGTAGTGGAGACCATCCGCTTCCCGCTCATTTCTCCCTCAGACCTGGTACAGTTCATACAGGTGAGTTCACTTCAGTTTTATAAAATCGACTGCCATGTAACGTTTTCTCACACAGAAATTTAGAAAGAACTGTAGCTGTACTGAATATTGATACCTGGGAATAAAAGGGTTACGAATATGATTTTATAGACCATATGGATGACGTCATCACATTTTATTGCCCGAAATGTGATTATCTTTAAAGTTATAATATAGCACTTTGGTACAAGTAACTGAAATAAAAGTATGGTTTTCATGTGCATAATGGTCAAAGCTACAAACGTACGTTTGCACAAATTGATATCTACTAATTATCCGTAGTTATTAGAGAATAACCTAATTGCCTAATTAAAATCTAGTTATTCTCTAGTAACTACGGGTGATTAGTAGATATCAATTTGTGCAAACGTACGTTTGTAGCTTTGACCATTATGCACATGAAAATCATATATTTTATTTCAGTTACTTGTACCAAAGTGCTATATTATAACTTTAAAGATAATCACATTTGGGGCAATAAAATGTGATGACGTCATCCATATGGTCTATAAAATCATATTCATAACCCTTTTGTACTTAGGTATCAATATTCAATACAGCTACAGTTCTTTCTAAATTTCTTTGTGAGAAAACGATGGAAACCTAAAATGCCAAATTAGCCAGGGAGGACACCTTAATACATTGTACGTCACATAAAGTATATCGAAGTTCACAATTAACGTTACACCCTATAGACTATACAAAACAGAGCTAAAATATGTGTAAATTATATGTATAATCATTATGACATATTTCAATTGACTCAAGTTCCGTAAAAATACAGTCATGGCTCATTAAATGAAATTTGTTAATCACCTGTGAAATTCGTACAGCCATTTTTATAGCCAGAGATGTGTAAAATTACAGAATTACTAAGATACTAAACACAACGTCATTGCTTCGTTCTAAGATTATTATACATTGTATTTATAAGTTCATAACATTTAGAAATAGCTAAGAATCGTGAACAATAGATGAGGAATCACGTGCAGTTAGATGATAGGTGTAACACATGTAGACTATGTAGTGCAAAGGTTAGGTGTAACAGGTCGTTCGAATTCAATGCAATATAACCAGCTGCCGCTTCGCTGCATGCGTGCCTACGAAGCTGTTTATTACGCCAAATGGCGGTCATACCGGCTACACAGATACAGATACTGGTGTGTTACACCGAATGGTGGTTATACAGGTTATACAGATACAGACAGACTCCTGAATTTTTTCATACCAATGCTTTTCTTTCGCGCGAAAAGCAGCATAGTGAGGGGGAGGGGCGGTACAGCAGTCAACATCTCCTTGGTGCTGAATTACCTTCAAATGGTGAAGCAACGAAAAACAGAACGCTCATGCACTGTAGCTTGATGCATACATGCACAAGACTATTCTTTGTACTTCACGATTTTTATCTAAAGTGTACATACTTCCATAGAGCTTTTGGTATTCCCAGTCTCAGTGAAAAAAGGTAAAAGAAGTCCCATAGCCTTTCTGAGTGTGTAGAGGCAATGGGTTGATGACCCACGGGCCTGGTATTGGAAGACAGAGCCCATCCCTCTCCTTTCATCACCTTTTACCTCCCAATTCGAAGTCAGGTAGCCATTTTACACCTGGGTCTGCTACCCACTTGGTCATTCGACGCCACCGAGTCTAATATCAACCTCTGTAACTCCTTCCGTAAATAATTTCATCAGGTTGGTAAACAACTGAATAGCTAAGTTCTTTTTATCACAACCATTTATTTTTTACGAGCCGACGTTTCGATGACCTTCTGTCATCATGCACCAAGTAACATCTAGCGTCAGTGCACAGTAAGCCAGTCAGAATTGCCCTGATGAAGATGACAGACGGTCATCGAAACGTCGGCTAGTGAAAAATAAATGGTTGTGATAAAAAGAACTTTGCTATTCAGCTGACTGTAACTGTTACTTGTACCTTCCCCAGAGCGCAGAGTTCATGAGAACTGATCCCAAATGCATGGCTCTGCTGAAGGAGGCGGCGGACTACCAGAGGTTAAGATTCGCTCAGCCCGTGCTGGTGTCACCAAGAACGCAGATCCGGTTGGTGGAATGTTTTGTTATTTTCTTAAATGTATTATAAAGATGTTAGTAAACTAGAAAAGTAACATTTGCAAAGCAAATGCATAATGTTTACCTTCGCATATGGTCTGCTGTGTTAATTCTTACTCAAACACATTCATACATATGGTGACAGGAGTCTAAATCCCTCCTACAATAAAAGTGCAACATGATGAAACCCAGCACCAGTTACCATGGTGAGAGACAGTCTGGTTCAGTCAGGTCAGAGGTCAAGAGGTCAGAGGTCAAGAGGTCAGAGGTCAAGAAGAAGAAACTGAGCAAAAACAATATGTTTAAACAAAAAAATCAAGTGCCCTTTAAGTTTTACTGTTGCAGAAGGAAACATATTGTTGTTGAAGTGTTTTTCGTCTTCTATTTCCCCAAACACATAAGGTCCATAGTGTCTGTCACCATGGTAACTGGTGCTGTAGCAGAGACCTGGCCTATGGTTTAGGGTTATATTATGTATCAATGGCAGACGTCTGGTCCAGGTCATTGACTTTATCTGAACGGAAGAGGAAGAAGGGACTGAGAAAAAACAACTAAGATATGTTTTTCTTCTGCGAAGGTGAACATAATGAGGTTAGTAGTAAAACTTAGTAGTATGACAAAGATTTTAGATCTGATTCTTTTACAATGTACTATTCGTTGACATTCACACGAAATTGTTATCCATCACATGACAACTACAGGTCAGAAAGCAATTCACTAGTAACTATCGGAGGAGCGCACGCGGACGGCAGACCGAGTGACCTGGCGTCCTTCTACGACTTTCAGACGAAGAAGTGGCAGACATTGGTGAACCTCGAAGTCCCCGTGAAGCATCATGGGGTAGCTGTGATGGGCGGGTTCATTTGGGTGGTTGGAGGGATGAACAGAAACAGTGAAACTATCGCTACAGGATACAGGTGTTTGTTTGTTTGTTTGTTTATTTATTTGTTTCCTCTTTCCTCTTTGCATTTATTTGACACGTAGACTTGTCCTCGGGCTTTTTACTTACACGTTGATAAGGCTTTGTCTCGACTAGTGTTGCTTTATTTGCCTTGTACACTGTATATTCTTTACGTGCAATATTCTTCACAAACGTTAAAGGGCCATTATGTAACATTTTTTCACCAAAAATTGAAATATTTCAATTGAAAAATAATCTCGTAATTTTAATCTACATACACTTTTTAACATTTTTGTGCAACTATCTCACATCTATGACATTAATTGTTGGCGCTAGAACAGCCCACACCAGGCGCACTCAGTTCGTGGTTCCACCACGGTGGTAAATGACAGTAAATGTCAATATCAGACAGATATCCTCACCCAGAAAATTTCTTGTTTTGTCATTTGTATGATCCCAGCGTCGCCGACGTGTTTTTGTAAACACCACTATTGTTTGTTTTGCCTCCCTGAAATTACACATTTTGCCTTAGGTACGACCCTTGGCGATCTCATGCAGAATATTTTTTTGTTGCCATTTGTATGATCCGGCATCGCCAATGTGGTTTTGAAACACAACTCTTGTTTGTTTTGCCGCTCTGAAATTGCCTTTACACCCATGTCTTTTCCTAGGTACGACCCCTGGCGACACGAATGGCTGCAGATCTGCCCGATGAACGAGCCCCGCGCCTGTTACCACCTGGCCGTGATCCACGACAGGCTGTACGCCATCGCCGGCCGCCAGGGGGAGAACACCAACACCACGTCCATCACCATCCTCAGGACTGCCGAGCGATACATACCGGAGGACAACAGGTCAGACATTCACTTCACAACGCTACTGATACACTCCACGTATAATAATGATACACCTCACTTCGCTAAATGATACATAGGAATCTGTTACTCAAGCAACTGGATAGATTTTGAAAACTATCAGACGTACAAGTAGAACCCACTCTTTTTTGTCAGTAATGTTCTTGCTCAATAAATCAGTCTTCTACTACTACTACCACTACTACTGTTACTACTACTCTACCACTCTACAAATACTACAACTCTACAAATACTACTACTCTACTACTACTACTACTACTGCTGCTACAACTACTATAGCTACTACTACTACTCTACAAATACTACTACTCTACTACTACTACTACTGCTGCTGCTACAACTACTATAGCTACTACTACTACTACTACTACTACTACAGTAACTACTTCTACTACGGATACTTCTACTACTACATGTGTACCACCAGTCCACCACCATTACTATTAGTTTCCCGTCGCTATGCCTATATCATGATACTAGTATCCATTAAGTATAACCGAACCTGACATGACAGTCACTTTCTTGTATTCTTTCGTTATCATTACCTCAATGATAGATGGAGGCATTGTTTTGAGTGTGCATGTGTGTGTCTCTTTTGTGGTCAGCGTAACTGGAAGGTCTGGATCGATTGTTATGATTTTTTGGTATATGAGTAGGTCTTGGGAAAACCAAGGAGGCTATAACCTCATTGGAGAGGCAGCATTGGGGAGACGAAGGCCAAGGTTGATTGCTTGCCCTCTGGTCGCTTTCCTTGTTAATGTTTGGAAATCTTCCTTTTTTTAGATGGGAGTACATCGCAGAGCTGCCGAACAGAACGGACTGTCCTGCCGGAGCGGTGCATGTCGGGACACTGTACATCTCTGGCGGTTTCGACCAACCAGCGGGCTTCCTTCCGCACATGCGCTGTTACGACGCCAAGTTGGATCTGTGGCAGGTAAGGGTTCGCTTTCAGAATAATAAAAACTGTACACAGGGCAACTTTGCCTAATTTCTAATGTCTTGAAAAAGCGGTAGTTTAAAATTCAATTTGATGCAAAGTCCACGCTGTGAAAAGACCAATTATACCCAACAGCGTGTACGCATCCTTGATAGACTTGAATATTTCAAATTTAGATATCATGTACATGTATTAACAATTTATCTGATAGTACTACTGTCATTATCTGAAACTAAACTATTCAAACTGTATACAGATAACATCATCTTGATAATCTAATTCTGTTCCTGTATAACAGACGCTCCCCTTTTCATATTTTGTCTCATGTTGTGATTATCCTTTTATGTCCAGTGGTGACGTTAATATAAGCTATTTAGCGTCACAACTAGCGTCAAATGTTGAAATAAAAGAAAAAGGCCAGTAATCGTCTGGTGAATCTTTAGAAGCTGTAAATGTAAAAAGTAGTCCCTAACCTTTTTGACGCCGTAATGGCAGTGGGCATGATATCGAAAGACATCCCTCTCCTTCTACCTCCCCAACTGAAGTTAGGTACCCGGGCCATTTTACACCTGAGTGGAATGAGGAAACTCATTGAAAATCAAGTTTTTCCACACTGAAATTGCATCGGACACCTATTTATGTTCTACGGTTTACAGGTTTACAACTTTTTTTTTACTTCCCACAGGAGAGAACACAGATGCCAGCTTGTCGCGGCTTCCACTCTATGGCGGTCATCAAGAACAAGATCTACATCATCGGTGGACACGGCATGGACGACCGGGGCGGGTACGACACTGACCTACTGGACGTTGACATCTACCTGCCAGGGACAGACACCTACGAAAAGGGACGACCCATGTTGAGAGGACAGGGGTGTTCAGGTTGCACAGTCTTGGACGGGACCATTTACGTCGTAGGGGGTGGCTCAAGGGTCTCGGGACAGCCGACAAACGTCATTTCCGTTTTCGATTCAGTGAAGGACAGTTGGGAGGAGGTTGCCATGGAGTTCATTGAACCCATGTACGGAGCCGGATGTTGTTCTGTTCTACTTCCGGCTGACATCGCCATAGAGGATGTGTGAACTTTGAGATTGCCATAAAAATACAATAATAAACTTCATAGTGAAGTTTGATACTTAAGATCATTACAGTAAAGCCACACCAATTTAATCAATTGGTTGGGATTCATTTTTTTTCTGATTTCGAAAAAAGATTCAGGTTCTGAATCCACTCCAAAATGCTCATATTTTTGCCCAAACAATTAAAGAAATTAACTTTGTCTTCCTACAAATTTAGTTCTTTCATCTATGAATGCATTGGTCTGCTAAAAAGCTTAAACTCCATTGTATGAATTATATACCTTGTAAGCTTGGTATGTTGAGTTCATTGCTCAATCGTAGCTTTCAGGGGGCTATCAGAGGATGCCTAGGTCTGTTTTATTTTTTATTTTATTTTTTGCCCTGCCGCTTCATATATTTTAAACATCCGATAACCAATAAATAAAATTGGTGTGACATCTCACCTCAAAATTTCAGTAGCGCTTCCGTCAACCGTGAAATATATATCTTAACTGTGTTGATCTCAAGTATCAAACTTCACTGTGGAATTTACCAACACATGAACAAAACACACAAAGAATTTCAAACCGTGAGTTGTACAAAAACATACCGCCGATTGCTGAAACAATACGGCAAAGGAGACTACGTTTTGTAGGCCACTGTTGGAGTAAAAGGATGAGGTAGTACACAAACTCTTACTGTGGAACCCGAGTCATGGAAAGAGAAGTCTTGGAAGACCACATTTAACTTCCATAAAGCAACTAGAGGCCGACAGTGGAATGACTCTAAGTCAACTGCCTGCTGCGATGAAGGATAGAGAGAAATGGAAACAGACAGTCATGGGGAGACTTCAAGCGAGCTCGACTCAGTGAGTGAGTGAATGAATGAGAGAGCGAGTGAGTGGGTGAATGAATGAATGAATGAATGAGTGAGCGAGTGAGTGAATGAATAAGTGAGTGAGTGAGTGAGCGAGTGAATGAGTGAGCGAGTGAGTTAATGAGTGAGTGAGTGAGTGAATGAATGAATGAATGAATGAGCGAGTGAATTAGTGAGTGAGTGAGCAGGTGAACCCTTGTCTGACACACGGTCCCTGAAACCTTCACGTCTGCCTTAAGTTGTTACGGACGACGTGAAATTTTTACCTATAAAATAAATGTACAGAAAGATTATATTGTAATAGAGTGCCTTAAACACAGACCTAGAAAAGGTGGCCTTCAATTTGTTGCTATGTATATATACATCATACTTGTACAATGTAGTATATAAACTGCGCGTAAATATATGTGGAAAATGAATGGGGCAGACTGGGTCTATGTTTAAAGTTAAAACTTTTGGTCCGACACAAAAAAGTACTCTCACCTAGAACTTTCGACAAGTCACTCTGGTCTTCCTCAGTAGACTGACCATTTGAAGCTTGTCACGTGGCTTCTTTGAAGTGTGACGTCAACACTGGGTCAAAGGTATCTGGTAGACGATGTCGGCCCCCGTCGCGGTTCAATGAAGAGTGACTGGTCGAAAGCTCCAGGTGCGAGAACTTTTTTTGTGTTGGACCAAAAATTTTAACTCTAAACATGTAACTAGTAACACATTAACATAGATGAACTTTCATGATAGACTGGGTCTACTTTTACCTGGTAAAGATGCAGAGCAAATGTGTGATTATCAAAGAGATTCCGAGAGATTAGCAGCAACTGTCAGCTTTTAACATACATTTTTGTACTCGAAGCAATAGTATTTTGTCAAAGACTATCTTGCCATGTTATATATTTTTCACTTGTAGTCTAGAACCTGACCTGCAATGCAATGCCTTTCGGTGCCTTTAAATATATGCAGTGGACTGATTCTCTAGCTAACCGACATATTTAAATTTTGTACCACAGTCAGTACGATAACCGTAACCGCAAAGTTCCCGTTTAAAACTTTTATTCAGTTTGTAATCTAGACTGGATTTGCCTTTCTGTGCCTTCTTCAATGGTTGTTTTCCGGTTTCCATAAACAACCAAAGGCAACGATGTATCTACGTTTATATGATAACTGTTGCGATATTTTATGTCAATCTGAAGAAATTATGCAACGAGAATTAAATTGGGTATGAAACATGACGCAGATTTTAATGACTCCTCTTTTGTTTTTTGTTCAGAAGACGTCTTTAGGCCATGTTGATTTGATTATATGGATGACATCCCATGAGAACCCCAAAACTGATGCGAGCGTGCGAATAAAAAAAAGTTTGGCCAAAAAAAGTTGCTTTCATTATGAAATCTACGTGGTCATGAAGGTTGAACAAATGGCACAGAGTATGGTATGGCGAATAATCTACTCTTCAAATTCATTTCTTTACAATTTCGTCTTTTTTGTTTGATTTTGGCATTCCAGGACATTGGTATAGTTTTGCAATATTTCTTTTTGCAACTTACAGTATGACATTTGCTCATTTTGCAACAGTTTTGTACGATTTACAGTGTGGTTGAAAACGTTTGAAAGTAGAGGGAGTGCGAACTTTCTCGGCCAGAACACGTTTTGCCACTAGTACGAAGCAAATCACCCTTTCTTCCTCCATACCCAATCTCTCAGGAGGAAGTTCCACGCTGAAAGCTTCTTTCCTAGAACTACATCACCGTGGAACAAGCTTCCTTGTGAATGCTTCCCATATTGGTACAACCTTAAAGTTTTCAAGTGTAACGTTAACAAATTAAACATCTGTCTTTACAGTTCCTTAATATAACCCAAAACATGTGAGTGGTTCGCATGACTCTTGTTTTGAGGTGAAAATTTAAGCCTAAAAAGGAACCTTAAAAAGGAACTACAAACACTTGTAGTGTATAGCACTGTGTATAGTGTATAGTGCAGAACGTCTAGTTTCAGGTCGGTTCTCTCTCCCTCTCTCTATCTCTCCCTCTCTCCTTCTCTCTCCCCCTCTCTCCCTCGCTCTCTCCCTCTCCCCTCCCCCTCTCTCTCCCTCTCTCTTCCCCCTCTCTCTCTCCCTCCCTCTCCCTCTTTCTCCCCTCTCTCTCCCCCACTCTCTCTCTCTTTCTCTCTCACTATGTACTATAGTTGTGTCGGAAAAGATATCGTCTGCAAGGAGCGAAATTCTTGGGCAACTTTGACCAAACATCCAACGAAAACATAGTAAAACAGGCGCAGTACGTTCTACCGAGTCAGAAGTGTTTACTAAGTAGTAAGTACTGAAGCGTCTAACTTTGACGTCACTTCCGTTCACCCCCTGCCGAAGGAAAACAATAGCGAAGTTCATGACTAACTTCCTCAACCTGCCGGATACCCACATACTGTTGTTTGTACTATTTCATTTTCACTCTCACGGCTTTATTCCACATTTCCTGAAAACGACCGGACGCTACGTTACAACTCTATTCAAGTACACAGGCTGATAAGGTCGGTGACAATTGCAAAGTCTTCTGAAAGTGTCGACTGCCATACAGAAGACTATCTTCGAAAACATTTTCATCAGGTTGGTAGAACATATACTAGTAGGATATTTCAATTTTCTTATACAACCAGTAATGCTCTCTTGGAATCTGAAAAATCTGATATAGGCATCGAAACGTAAGCAGGTGAGAGCTACATGTACATGTAGATACTAGTAGTACTGTTTATGTATTAGAAAACTCCAATGCCATAGAAAACTATCTCGTTACTACTAATGTTTTTAAGCTATAAAGCGACTTTCACAATATTAGTGAGAGTAAACTTTCAGATATTCTATTTCAATACGTCAAATGTATACCGTTTACCTAAGACTAAGCTATAATAGTGTTAGGTACACTGTACATTATGATACTAGCTATTTTACAGCCGATGGCAATTGGAAACGTGCCCAAACCTAAACAGGATGGCAAACAGGTACATGTAAGTTTACGGTACTAGAAACATATTTACATGCACGAGGGCTGACTTGAATGACAAGTATTGTTTTCTTGACTCACATCACCTCATTATAAGATAGCAGACTTTGAATCCTTGTCTCTGTATAGTAATCATATATACGTACCTGGACAGAAAGAATGCTCCAAATGTTCAACCTTAATTCTTGAAATGTTTTACTCTCGTGGAATAAGGAAACGGCACGACCTAGCCTCCACCAGGCCTTCCTACAGGGGTACGGATCGTAGAATTCGGTGAAAAATAATTGCCTAGTAGAATCAGTCCGCCGAAAAATTAATTTTCACTCTCCGAAGGGTGAAGGGACTCTAGGGTGGCCAAAGATGCCTGGCTAATTAGTCATAGCCTCTACCAGGCTTTGGGAGGCGGCTGGAAAAGAGTACATGTAGAAATTGGTCAAATAGAGAGATAACATGCTAGGGGAGTTGGTCCCCCAGAGAGTACAGTTTGCCGCACCAATTCTTCTGGCATGTTATTTCTCTATTTGGCGAATTTTTACTCTTTCCAGTCGCCTCTCGAAGCCTGGTAGAGGCTACATGTAAATTATTCCTCATATTTAGCCAAATTTTACTGCTTTTGAATCCGCGTCGTTAGTAGCCTCCACCAGGCCTTTCTACGGGAATACGGATCGTAGAATTCGGCAAAAAAAAGAGAGTAAAATTGGCCAAGGGAGTCCGGCCGCGGGGAGTTAGTTTCTTTCTCTGCCAAACCTACAAGGCGGCCAAACTCCCCTGGCAATTATTCTCCTACATATAGCTAGCGTAGTTAGTCTGGTCATGGAGTCATGGAGAGTTAAAATACAGATTTTAACTCCATGGTCTGGTAGAGACTACGTCGTTTGTATGGTAGGGACCATATGCGCGATCTACGACATGCCACGGCGATGATGTAATGTTTGCACGCCGGGGAAGGTGCGGTGTGGCGGGGTGTTTGCTCGCCGACACTTGGTCAATTTTTAACGACTGGTCCTGTTTGACTGAGTGTGCGTACACGGGTACAGAGCAGCACCAACTATAGGATCGCAACACAATAAGGTAGGCCTGGCACTGTTGTACAGACATGACAGATGGTATGAGGCGTAGAGTTGCCAGTGGGGTTTGTTGTTGGTTCCTGTAGGCAAGGACCAAACGTTCTTTTGATCCAAATACGGCTGTAATGGTGTTTCTCCTGTTATCATCCTGCCTATCAAGTGATTCAATGGCCTCCCTGTTAAAAAATGGCGGACAACGACCAGGTAAGTCAGGTCAGTAAGTGTTAAACAGAAGGTACAAGGAGCATTTTCTGTTTATGATAGGACTGAAATTTTGTGATAGCGCTTCCATTGTTTTCTAGAATCACCGATGGAGAGGTGCTAGGTTTCTGAGGAAAAAGATGTTGTGTTGTGTTCATTCGAGAGGGACAAGTAGTGCCCTCTCCACATTGTAAACAAACACTGAAGTCTTTATTTGTTTTCTTCGTCGCCTGTGTTGTACTGTAGGTTGACTCGATGAAGATGGCGTCGTTCATCGACGCGAACGAGTCTGCGAAGCCACGGGGACAGACGTACGTGTTGTCGGTACACAGCGCCGCCGTGCTGCGGAACCTCAACGAGTTCAGGCTGCAGGACGGGCATCTCTGCGACGTGACGCTGGTAGCAGAGGGGAAAGAGTTCGCCGTGCACCGCGCCGTCATGGCGGCGGCTTCCGAGTACTTCCGAGCCATGTTTACGGGCGACATGAAGGAGGCTACCGAATCAAAAGTCGAGCTACGCGGCATGCCCGCAGTCGGACTCGAACACATCATCGACTTTGCCTACACGTCTAAAATCTGCCTGTGCATGGATAAAATCAGGGACGTTTTAATGGCTGCAACGTACATCCAACTCACTCCCATCATCGACTTCTGCAGCGAGTTTCTCATCTCGGAAATAAACATTGACAACTGCGTGGATATCGGACACATCGCTCACGACTACCACCTGGCGAAGGTCGACAGAACTGCCGACGACTTCATCCTCAAGAACTTTTCCGTCCTGGCCAAGAAGGAGGAAGACTTTGTCCGACTCACGCTCGAGAAGTTGGTGTTTTTGTTGGCCAGGGACGAGCTGCTCGCCTCCTCGGAACTGGAGATTTTCAAAGCCGCTGCCACATGGCTCTCTCACGACCCTGACCGGATTGAACACGCCAGTAAGGTGAGTAGGACTTTAGAACAACCGTTTACAACATAAATATGTTTTCCGATATTGCTGTCTCTATTTAAACAGCGAAGAAAACAAATAACTCGAGTCATTAACTCTGAAAGAACCGTGCTTAAACACACTCCAGTGTGACTGCAGGTCATGGGACATTCACCAGTTTCCCATCCCCAGAATGCAATGCGAAAATAGGGGGTAACCCTCATTTGCATAGGGCTGGAAGGCATCGGAATGATCCTGTTGACGTTAAACAGCTTGCTTTTCACTGTGTTTTGAGGTGTTGGGGCATTTTATGCTCAACATTAATTAAATTACTATGGGCCGAATCTGGCAACAAATAGAGAATGAAGTTTTAGTGTTCTTTTCAACATGGAACATGTGGTTTGTAACGTTACAGCATCAGTATAGTGTTACCACTATAACGTTACAAACCACATATTCCAAAAAAATCATTCTCTATTTGTTTTCAGATTCAACCCATTAGTAATTTGATTAATGTTAAGCATAAAATGCCCCAACACCTAAAACACAGCTGCAGTGAAAAGCAAGCTGTTTAACGTCAACATGATCATTCTGATGCCTTCTATCCCTATGCAAATGAGGGTTACCCCCCTATTTTCGCATTGCACTCTGGGGATTGGAAACTGGTGAATGGTTCTTGCATCATTGTACAAACTGTAGCTGCAAAACATTAGCCTGTGAACTATTGCCCCCTTTTTTCTGTGTGGCAGACATTCTTTATCCACAATAGCAGCTAAATAAAGACACATTGCATCAACAACCACATGTACAGTACCCTTAACTTTTACCTGTTGTAATGATATATACTGTAGGTATTGTATAGGGGGAGCAGTGAAGAAAGATGAAATGCATTTTATATGTCAGTGTTCCAAATACGATTTTGAAAGAAAAAAAAATTGCCAAAGAAGTCTCTTATATTGCTCCAAGTTTTCACCTCTATTTTATGTGTTGGAGAATATCTATAATAATGCTTGAGTCTCCCGACCCATCTATTTGTCAAAAAGTCGGACAATTCATCTCCCACTGCCTCCAGAGAAGAAATCAAACCCTCGAATAGCTTAACTAGAATTTTTACAGGATGGTATTTGCCCTGTCTCTCTTACCTGTTTATATATTACATATCATCTCTCTGTCACATACACGTACGTTATTAGTATCAAGTAGAGGTACAACCCTAGATTTGTAGAAGTAGAACTCTTTGATACATTCTGTCCTCATTGTAGTTGTCAGTTTGCAATTGCCCTCGGACATGAGTTTGCAATAAAGGTAGATTATTTCTTATATCTTATTCATCATATTTGTGTTTACCTTCACAGAAGAAAAAATACATTTTTTGCTCTGTTTCTTCTTCTTCTTCTCCAAACACAAAAGGACTTGAACCAGACGTCTGTCACCATGGTAACTAGTGCTGTAGCAGACACTTTGTGGTGTTGGGTTACATTATGTTGCAATTTGCAGGACAGAGTCGGAGGGGCTGGTATATAAATTATATATAAATGTGTTTCAAAATGAGTAAGAATCAACAGAGCAGTTACTGTAGTTTATTAGGCTAGACCAAGGTAAATATTATGCGTTTGCTTTGCAAATGTTATATTTCAAGTTCGACTTTTTCTTCTAGGTTATGGAGAAGATCCGATTCGCGCTCATCCCCCCTGACGCCGTGATAGAATCCGTGCAGACCGTGGACTTCATGCGCCAGTCTGTGGGCTGCACCAACCTACTGATCGAGGCCTCCAACTACCACCTCATGCAGCTTGCCCAGCCGGTGCTGCAGTGCGACAGGACCCGCGTACGCTCCCTCGGGCCCTCGCTGGTGGCCTCGGGCGGACTCACCAAACAGAGCAAAGTGGAAGTGTGCGCCGACGCGCTCTTCTTCGACAAGACCTGCTCCAAATGGGTCAACATGAAACCGCTTGAAAAGACCACCTACACGCACTGTGTCGCGACTCTGGGGAACTTCCTCTTCGTGGTCGGCGGACAGAACACTCTGGACCGCGTGGGGAAATCGGCCGTGGCGTCGGCGTATCGCTACGACCCCCGCTTCAACAGGTGGCTGCAGCTGGCCTCCCTGAGGGAGGCGCGGACGTACTTCGCGCTGTGCGCCGTTAGGGGGCGCCTCTACGCCATCGGAGGAGAGAACAGGAACGGAGAGATCGCCTCGGTGGAGTGTTACCTGCCAAATAAGGACGAGTGGACCTACGTCACACAGTTACCCATGGCGCTGTTCGGCCACGCTGGATCCGTGCTCGACCAGTCCATCTACATATCCGGGGGGTTTGCGTCAGGTAAGCACAAAAAACAGATTTTCTATCACTACAGAACTATCCACACATCCTCAGTGTTTGAATATATGTAGTGTTAGTGGTATATATTTTAGCTTGATTGTGGTTTTGCCTTGGCTCTATTTTACATTGCCATGGCCAGTTCTGTTCTGTTGGCATTTTATTCACACCAAGGACATTATACAGATATACTGTTTTTTTTCCTTGTTCACACATTGAAGAAGGTAATACAACACAAAGTGGTAGCGAACTCAAGTTACCAAGGCTTATATCTTCTTGGCTTGGCTTCTCGTCCAAAGTTACCAAGACTTATATACATATAACAAAAACAGATTATTACAAAATGAAATCCAATATACTAGTAAATGAAATACAAAGGATAAGAAATATATAACACAATGCAATGTGATAAAGAACAAAGATAATTAAAGCTTGATACATTAGAGCAAGTTCTAGGTACAAGAACTTGAAACAAAGGACAAATCGAGTTTTAGAAGCGTTTTGTTGCGGTCTGTTGGCATTCTACAATCTACCAGCATCATTGATTCTAACATACAGATACTAGTAGATAACGACTAACTTACTTTACCGTGCCGCTAGTTCTCTTTACAATCTTACTTCTCTGTGTGACTTTAGGAACGTTCAGTAACGTGCTGTACCGTTACGACCCGGCCCTGGACCAGTGGGACTCGCGGGCGCCCATGCCGACCACCCGGGGCTTCCACTGCATGGCCAGGGTCAAGAACCGCATCTACGTCATCGGAGGGAACCATTTCGACGCGGACGAGGAGAGAGTGGACGTGCTGACCGTGGAGTGCTACACACCGGAAACCGACCAGTGGTCCCAGGTTGCACCCTTGCGGGAGGGTCAAGGTGAGAAAGGAATGAAAAGGTCTCCCGTGCCCTTATGCAGAGCGTAGGGTGGTGCCCATATCTATTTCTGTAACCCTTTGGACGACAGACAGTTGTGCAAAGCACTACAGCAGGGGGCTAGTCCGCTGGTAGTGTTGTGTGTTTGACCTTCCCGCACTCTTTCTCATATGTGCTGAGTGCTAAGCAGAGAAAGAAGTGTGTACCATTTTTACCTTCGCCGAGAAGGTTATGTTTTCAGTAGCGTCTGTCTGTGTGTGTGTGTGTTTGTGTGTGTGTTTGTGGTTTAGCAAGATAACTCAAGAAGCAGTGAATGGATTGAAATGAAACTTGGTAGGTATGTAGGTCTTCATGAGACCTAGAAATGATTAGATTTTGGGCCCCCTGGCGGCTTTCCTAGGTACTGCAGCAGAACTTCCGGTTTTGATATCTAGTGATCTGGACATGCTAGGGTCACGAATTTTGGTTGGTAGATAGTTCTTGGAGTAGGAAAGAAGTGACATGAGTTTGGGTCCCCTAGCGGCTTGTCCTGGAACTGCAGGAGCATTTGTTGAAAAAAATTTCGAAGGATGATAACTCAAGAACCGGTTGACGGATTGTCATGATCTTTAGTATGTAGGTAGTTGAAGTGATGCTTGACATAATCAGATTACAATTATGCAAATCAGGGGCTAATTTGCATAATTAATGAGGAAATTCTATAAATCTGCTTTGTTCGATAATAGAACTATGAAACACTTGTGACATCTACTTGAGAACAAGATAAAACATCTGAGGATATAGATTATGTAAATGAGGACCTAATTCGCATAATTAATGGCAAATGTTTGTAATTTCATGGTTATAACTGTTGAGAATGTCATACCTGCCACATTTGGAAGTTAAGTGAAGCTGAACATCAATAAACATAATTTATTACAATCATGACCTCATTTGCATAATTGATGAGGAAGTGCTATAATAGCCTTTTTGTTAAAATAAAGCTGTCATTGGGTGGAGATCGAATATGATCAACTGATATAATCCACGCAAATGAGGCTCTTATTTACAAAATCGATGATTAAATTGTATAATTCGTCAACCGCAAGGGTTAACATCACTTGGCGAAGGTATGAGATCGCGGAACTCTTGTTAAAGTCTTTGGTATGACCCGGCCGGGGTTTGAACTCACGACCTCCCGGTTACAAAGCGAGCACTCTACCAATTGAGCTATTGCACCAGTGAGAAACGCAACAAAAATGCTTTTTTACACACATCCAGGTATTCTTCGGATTCCTACCTTGCAATTGCTTAAGTTTCGATGTCTTTCATACACCTTCCTCAGAGCTTCTGACTGGAGTTCTGCTTCTCGCATCTATATTAGGCTCCAGTCAGAAGCTCTGAGGAAGGTGTCTGATAGACATCGAAACGCGAGCAAGGTAGGAAGAATACCTGCTTGTGTATAAGAAAATCCCAATATCCTATGCTCTACCAGCGTAATGACATTATTTTCGGAAAAAAATACTTTCGCTTTTGAAAGAGCTGGCCGGGAGTCAAGATGGAAATAGCTGTTTTGGTCTAGGTGAGTGTAATGACTCGTGGTGCCTGATGTAGCTGTAGCATTCTATATGGTCTGGCTCTAGGCCTGGGTACTCCATGGTAGTTAGCGATGGCGGTGGTAACTCTGATGGCAACCAGGCTACCAAAGCTCCACGACTCAAGAACTCAGTACATACCAACAGTGCCGATTTAGAAATTCCACAAAAAGCCAGCATGTGCCGGCTTGCCGTGTACGTCGTTATATACTGCCGTAAATTCACAATACCAGCTTTGTATTCCTGTGGTTTAGTAGCATTTTTATTTTTGGCCGGAATTTTTTTATTCGCCCGCACGCACTAGTTTGGGGGGTCTTCAGAGGATGTCTTCCATAAAATTAAGACAGTGTGGCCTTACATACTTAGATGAGATTTGATTTGATGGACTCGGGAAATGCATTTTTGTGTTAAACAGTGTTTAACTTTTTTCCAGGGGAGAGCGGTATCTCGGTGTTAGACGACAAGATCTATCTCATCGGAGGGTACTCCCTGGACCAGAACAGCCGCATCAAGTCCGTCCAGTGTTACGACCCGGAGAAGGACCTGTGGGGCAACGTTCCCGACTACCCAGAAGCCATCGCGGGCGTGGCGTGTTGCACCCTGGACCTTCCCAGCGACCTGAAGAAGACATACATGTGACGTCACCAGCCTCACAACTAATCAAGTGGTTAGATATACCTTATGACGTCACCAGCCTCACAACCAATCAAGTGGTTAGATAAACATGTGCTTTGTGACGTCACGAGCCTTACAACCAATCAAGTGGTTAGATAAACATGTGCCTTGTGACGTCACCAGCCTCACAACCAATCAAGTTGTTAGATCGATAAACACGTGCCTTCTCAAACATTGTGGTTCATGTCAATGTTCATGTCAACCATAAACATTTGAATAAGAAAGTGACTGAAAAGTCTGGTTGGTAGGAAATACTGACAATAAGCTGGCAATTAAAAGAAGTGAGCAACAAGAGCAAATTGCTAGAATTTTCCTGAATTGGACGCATGATATACTAAAAGGTTACGCCCCAGAGGCGCCGCCAAAAATTTAAACACTTGAGTATGAGCTTTGATACTATGTTATCATTCCAGGTTGTTAACACTCCTACGGAGGGACCCCTCTCCTGACTGACTCAGTCTTTTCTTAGTCTCTCGGTTCTTGTATGAATCTTAAAACATTGCCCAAATATGACAGTGTGTATAAACATCTGATGGTCTTTAAAAGATTGAATTTCAAAGGAAGTTTACTATGTATCTAATGTTGTATGATTCTTTAACGCACAATTTTGCTACATCATCATGTTGTTTAAAATATGGCAGAAATCTATAACCTTTGTGAAAAAAAGAGAAAACAAAGCTTAGAAGTGTGAACATGACATGGGCTGTTAGAATCAGAACTACATACACACAATTTTGGTTAGAATGATATGAGCTTTGATTAGAATGATATCAAAAGACTTTTAACGTATAATTCAACAATATGTTTCTGAAATGATAAGAAGCAAACTGATGTCGTGCATTTGAAATGTTGTTGTGCCTTTGCTTTCGCAAGCTCACTGTTTTAGCACTGCCATTGTTACAGTATATTGATACAATTTAGTAAGTTGTAGTGTAGTGTAGTGCCTACCTACCTACCTACCTAGTCCCATGACCGACACTGGTCGTCGGGGGGACAAGGCAGACTTTGCAGCAGGAATATAGCCAGGTCCTCCTGTCTTGGGCTGCTGTCAGGAGTTGTGGGACGGTGAGGGACGTCCAGTCCTTGATGTTATCCAACCAGACTTTCTTCTGTCTACCTCGCCGTCGCTTCCCTTCCAGCGTTCCTTGTAGGATGGTCTTTGCCAGGTTGTTGTGGCGGGTCAGATGTCCAAACCACTGCAGCTTCCTGCGCCGTACAGTTGACATCACTGCTTCTTGGGGGCCAACAAGGCTGTATACTTGCTGGTAGACGTATTCGTTGGTCTTATGCTGGTGGTATGAGATGCCAAGCAATCTCCGCAGGGACTTTGTTTCGAAGGCTTGGATCCTGCGTTCTGTGTCTGTTAGAAGCGTCCATGTCTCGCATCCATACAGCAAGATCGAAACTACCAGGGATTTGTACAGTTTATACTTAACTGCAAAGCTGATGTTCTTGCTTTTCCAAATCCTGGTAAGGCGAGCCATCGCTGCCGTTGCTAGAGCTATCCTTCTGTGGACTTCTACTTTACTGGTGCCATCCTTTGTAAGTGTCCCCCCCAGGTAAGTGAAAGAGTCCACTGTTTCAAGCTCCTCACCGTTCATACGGATGGTTGAGTATACCTCATCCCTAGTGCTGCTGTTCACCATGACTTTGCTCTTCTCCGTGCTGACTTCCATTCCGAAGGAGCCAGCGCTCTGGTTGAGTTTGTCGGTGAGTGATTGCAGTTCAGCATTGCTGCCGCCAAGTAGGTCAATGTCGTCAGCAAACCGAAGATTGCAGATGCGTCTGCCTCCTATAGAGATGGATGTGTGGTGGTCATACAGCGCTTCTTGCATGATCTTCTCAAGATACATGTTGAAGAGAACTGGTGAGAGCAGGCAACCCTGTCGAACCCCTACTGTTGTTCTAAAGAAGCCCCCAACTTGGTTACCGAGGAGGACTGCACTGGTGGCATTCTTGTACAGGGCTTCGATGGTCTGGACCAGGCTCTCATCTATGTTGAACTCTCTCAGGACCCACCATAACCCCTCGTGCCACACGCGATCAAACGCCTTCTTAAAGTCTATAAAGTTGTGGTGTAGTTCGCGTTGGTGCTGCAGGTGTTTTTCGATGATCAGTCTACAGTTGAGAATCTGTTCTATTGTGCTTCTCCCCGCTCTGAAACCGGCCTGCTCTTCTGCCAGGATTTCTTCTGCTTTTGCATTGAGCCTCTTGAGTAGCACTTTGAGCATGATCTTGCTGGGGTGACTGATTAGGCTGATAGTTCTGTAATTTTTACATTGGCGCAGGTTTCCCTTTTTTGGTAAAGGAATAACAAGTGACTGTGTCCAGTCCTTGGGCCACCTCTTCTCCACCCAGATCTTCTGGCACAGTTCTGTGTACTTGTCCACCACCACTTCACCGCCGTGTTTCAGCAGCTCTGCCGGGATGTTGTCAAATCCCGGAGACTTGCCGGCCTTCATGTTGTGCACCGCGTCAGCAACTTCTTCCCTCAAGACTGGCAGATCTTCTGAGTCTCTCTCTACCCTGTTGGAGGTGGTCAGGTTGGCTGGGTCTACCTGGAGCTCGTGGTTGTAGAGTTCCTCACAGTATTCTGTCCATCGGTTTAGTACTGCTGAGCTGTCGGTGAGGAGGTTCCCGTCACTGTCTTCAATAACAGTAGGCTTTGAACTTGACTGCTGTGTGTTAGTGAGAATTTTGAGGGTCTCGTAGGCCTTCCTGCTGTTTCCTCTTTGCATCCCATGTTCTATCTCCTCGCACTGCTCCTCTATCCACTTTTCCTTAACTTCCCTCATCTTACTCCTCACTGCCCTGTTGGCTTGTTGGTAAGCTGCAGCTAGCTCCTGACTCTTGTATTTGTGCTGTCGGAGTTCCCTCCTCTTATCGCACAAATTGAGAACATCATCAGTCACCCACGGTTTGATCTTCCTTCTGCGTTTTCCCAGTACTTCTTCTGCTGTGGTCAACAGTGTTTCCTTGATGTTTTCTGCAAGTGAGTCTACGTCATTGTCGAGAACACTGAGTGCCGCAAACTTGCCGCCTATCTGTGCTTGGAAGATTGTCTCCACCTCGGGATCTTTTAACTTCTCAAGGTTGAACCTGATGCGGGGGTTTTCCTCCTTACGCTGGCATTTCAATCTGAGTTTGAAGGTGGCAAGCAGGAGGTCATGGTCGCTACCGATGTCAGCACCGGGGTAGGACCTTGTCTGTGCTCTGTTTATACTCGACTTGTGGCGCTGTTGGGTCAAAATAAAATCTATCTGGTTGTGTATCTTGCCATTTGGGGAGTGCCATGTTGTTCGTCTGGACAGTTTATGGGGGAAAAGGGTGTTGGCAAGAGTAAGTTTATGGTTTTGAGCAAACTCAAGTAGCCGTAGTCCTCTCTCATTTGTCTCACCCACTCCATACCTCCCTACCGTCCCTACCCACTGTTGGTACGCATCAGGGCCTACTTTGGCGTTCCAGTCTCCCAAAACCACTAGTAAGTCTTTTTTTGGCACTTCCATTATGATCTTATCCAGTTCTTCATAGAACTTCTCAACCTCTTCTTCCTCATACTCGCTTGTTGGTGCATACACTTGTATAATAGATATGTTGAATGGTTGGGCAGAAATACGGATGGAAATGAGCCTGCTTGAGACCGGTGTACAACTGATGACACTATTGGCAACCTCGTTTCTGACCATAAAAGCCACTCCATTCCGATGTCGTGTGTCGTCTCCACTGTACCAGATCTTATGGCCTTCGTTTGTTGTTGTTTCTCCAAAGCCTGTCCATCTTACTTCTGCTAGACCAAGTATGTCCCATCTGTAACGCTCTAACTCGTACGTGAGCTCTTCCAGTTTACCACAGGCATGCAGTGTACGGGTGTTCCATGTTCCTATCACTGTCCCTTCTGTTGCTAGCTTGATAGATCTTTTTGCGCTGGTAGGCTGTGTCAACATTTTCCATCCTACGCTTCCAAAATAGTACCGATCTGGCCTACCTTTTCTCTGCTACTGTCTGCTTTGTCCTTTCAAGGGGCTTATACTCTCGGTGGCGCCAATCTCCTCTCCGAGAAAAATTTGCCAGACGACCGTTGGGAAAACTCAAGCTTCCTCATCCGCTCTTCAGCCGTTGGGAGTAGAAATCTCCTCATCCGCCTTCGGGTCAGGCACGCCGAACTATTTACCCATAGTTGGGGTCGTGGGTGGCAGTAGGTCCCAGGTTATGGTGTCCACAATGGTGCAAGGAACAGAAGAAACAGTTGAAAACTGATAATAAAATGAAATAAGGCTGTGGCTTGTAGATGGGAGGGGGGCGACTCCTGTTGGAATGTAGTCTATCTGTCTAGCTTCTTAGCAATACAGAAATAAAGAAAGAAACTAAAAATACTTTAAATCCTGTCTACAGCAAACTCTGGAGATGGTTTTGTGCCTCTAAGGATCATCCCCGCAGAGGATTGAGATGGATTGTAATCCTCTGTGCTGGAGATCCATAGGGGGCAGCCATCTTGGACCGTACCACTCTCCTCAATCATACAGCTGGATTTAAACTTTTGTTGCTTTTTATTTGGCTTTTTGGATGTTAGGTTATTTCTAGTATAAACTCGGACACTGTCAATATTACGATAAAAAGGAATTAATTGTAGTGTAGTGTTGATTAGTGTACAAGCCTGAAAATCATACAGTTGATTTTAATGTTTGGTGCTTTTAAGTAGATTTAGTTTTCATTTTGGATGCTGGGTTGTTTCTAACAGAAACTTGGACGTCTTCAGCACTGCTATCATTACAATAGAGACATATTAATTAGTAATTGCAATGTAGTGTATCATGCACAAGCCTGAAATCATACAGATGCCTTTAAATGTTTGGTGCTTTTAAGTCATTATAATGGTTTTTGGGTTGTTTCTAACAGCTTTCTATATGTTTGAAGTCCTTCCTCATTTGTAAAACGCTGGTCGTGCCTAGCCGTATTATAGTGTGCCTGTTTTCAGGTAGAGAAAAGTAGGTTTAATAATCATGCATGTGTTTTGCGTCATGATGATTTTGTCAGTAAAAGCCCAATACATTTGAGAGTATTGCGAGCATACACGAATACACGTTTTCTGGCATTTTTGTTTTCCTTTTTACTGCATATCTTTTCCATGGCCATTGTGTACCGTCGTTGTGTTACAAAACAAGTATTGTGCACTCACGATATATTACCTCCATGGAGGAAAAATGGGGGTATTGTTTTTGGCGTGTCTATCTGTGTGTCTGTCTCTGAGTTTGTGTTTTCGCACATTTGTAGTCAGCATAACTTCATAACGCCTTTATGGATTGTGATGATATTTGGTATGTTGGTAGCTCGTAGGAAGACAAGGGTCAAGATCAAATATGGGCCTCCTTACATCACTATGCATACTAGTATATTATGTTAATATAGAGGTCATTTGCATAATTAATGAGGACATGTTGACTTGAAATATTGCCAAAAGATAGAAATTTCTCAAGCAAAATACATTTGTAGTATAGTTTGAGTTTAGAAAACCATAAATTTAGATAGATCATGGCAATTATGACCTTATTTCCATAATCAATGAGACAATTGCCCCCTTCAAAGAAAACATTTACATAAACTCTACATACTTCATGGAGGTATGATATCTCCGAATTCTTGTTTCAAGTGAATCTGAAAATTTAGCATTGATAAGCTACACCCAGAATGTTCATTCCAAATTCGACCAATAAAAAATTGATAAAAGACATAACACATACCGGTCTGTAGAGTAGGTGTAATACAATCA